AGAGAGAGAGAGAGAGAGAGAGAGAGAGAGAGAGAGAGACGCATCTTGTGACGTCCAGAACTTTATCCTGTGAAAGAGATATCGATGTCACATTTTTTGCCTCGGGCAGCTTTACACGCTCGTGCAGAATTAATCTTATATAGTAGGGCTAAGTCAATATATAGATATACAAACAAGATTATATCGTCGCTGTCTCGTTAACGGAAAGTATTTTGTACATATACGTCTAGTTTAATAGCTTTTATCGCCACAGAGAAGATGCAATCGAATTATTTCACGATATTAAGAGGACGACAACCGACATAAGAAAAAAAAACCCAAAAAAACCGCGATTAGGTATTATTACCGATATGGATCGTTTTTAAATTTAGGCGACAGAGAGATTTCCAGTCACATAGTCACACGTACATGTTGTGTAATAATGTAATTAATTACGTGCATACGCGTCGCAACAAGAAGAGATTTCACCCAAAGATTTTAAACGTCGAAATTGTGTCGTGGATTATAGCTGCTAACTCTCTCGTGCGCGCTAAAAAAGATATTTAAATTAGCTTTAGCTCTGTGGATTTGTCTCTTTCTCTGTCTTTGAATTATTCGATGGCACATTAGTTGTTATATAATTCCAAGGACTGAAATATACTTTTCAGATTTACTCAAGCATCCTTTATCTTATCACTGTCTCAATATCCCTCTCGACTTTTATTTTCTGACGTGTCCACGCCACACACGTGTGTGTGTGTGTGTGTATGTGTGTGTGTGTGTAATCTAACACTCGAACAAAAAAACTCGACGAAATATAAATCACACACGTCTGGTGATTGACGCATGTTAATTATTCACACACTTCCTACACATTATGTACATATATATATATACATATATATGTACACATATATAATTGTCCATAAATATATTTCAGCGTGAAATTTACACCAATTTTACTATATTATCTACTTTTATTCTAATGGTATAAATATACAAGATATCGCGTTGCGCGCAATAGCGACAGAATCAACCAGAAAAATTGTTCTTGTTGAGCAATTTAAACATGATGCTTCAATAAATATAAGCACCATAATTATGAGTAATAAGAATAATTTCTAACGACATACTATATACAGTTTATATATCGTGTGTCATAGAGAATTATATTTATTAACAAAATATAAAAAACAAGATCCTCATATTTTACTACGTGTATTTTGAAATTGAACTTTTCTACGATATGTAAAACTGATATATAAATTGAGTTCGATTATATTGTCGAACGTGTCTGTTGTATCGAGCTTCTTAGTTAGGACAAAAATACTGTTATTATTACGCTGCGCATCTCCGGGAATAGAACATCTTACATATATTTATACCGTAGGTAGATATATGGGCTTATATAAATCTATATATGTATACATATATATATATACATATATATTGCGTATTCAACTGAATGTGAGAAGATGACAGCAGTGATGAAAATAAAAGCAACTCTCGACCAACCGACACGACAGTTCGCAATTTGTACAAAAGCAGCCTCGATCGGTTCGAGTTGAATCGATTCGAAAGCTATACACCGCGAGACATAATGTAACTGTGTCTCGTCACGGTATTATCGTGTTTCATCTTTCACAGGCGTGTCTCTGAGAAATGAGAAAGCACTCCGAGTTATAGAGAAAATTGTATATCGCACAAAAAAAGGCGGAATTAGAACTGTAGGAAGCTGTTTAGCGCTTTGACACTTTCTGACTCTGTTTCTCTTGACACATACCATAAAAACCGACATCATCTTGCGCTCGCGTAATTTCGTACAGGAGGGTAAAAACAAAAAATTACATCGTGATAAAACCTCGGTTCTCTCTAATCTCAAGATTATCGCGCCAGTTTCTAGTGAACGACTCCAAAAAAAAAAAACCATTGAACAGAAGTTGGAATTTTTCTTTTATTTCTCTTCGCTCAAACACACACACACGACGCTGCACTATGAGCTTATTGTGTGCGTGATTATAAAAGGAACATTTTACAACGTATTAAAGCCAGTCCACGCGCGTGATAATACACGCCCCGAATTTCGCGAGCACGCCACTTCCTACTAGTTAATTCGACGAGAGAGCCAGCTTATCTAAAAACTATAGAACAACATCACTCTCCGGCCGTATTACAAGCGTCCTTGCGAGATAATTGTAAGCACGTTTAGCATACGGTTGTCCCACATTTAAAATTGATTTTCTGAATAAAGCCGTTACTCAGAACCTGAGTCAGAACGAGAGCATATAAATATCTTTTGCAACGCGCGCGCGTCTCACAATTTTGCTACTCAAAAGTCATAATAATAAACGGTTTATGGTTTTCTCCGTATTCTTTTGGAGAGATAAAAGTGTGTGTGTGTGTGTGTGTGTTTGTGTGTGTGTGTGTCTAATGCATGCATGCATACATTTATGTTAATTAGACCAATGCGCGAAATGACGTGGACGAGTAAAATACAATGTGTGTTTCTCGTGACGTGCACTTGCCTCGAGTAGCGCAAAATATATCGTGATAACAAGCCGCTATTTTTATTATCGACAATGTCAAATGCAGATGTTATTTGAAAAATTGCGCGTACTTTAGCGCGCGGTTTTCCTCCCCTTTTTCTGTTTTTTTTTTTTTTCTAACGTAGTGTTAATTGTCAATTGTTGTGCTCTATATCGTCGCACGTATATTCACACACGCGTGTGAATAAAAAACTCCTCCTCCGCAGCTTTCAACGCGGCGCGGTATTGCAGTGATAGTTGTGACAAACAGAATTTCATCTGTCAAACTTACGTCAACTACTTTCGAGATACATACCTACATACGTTTCTTTACTCGGACGCGCGGGAGAACTGCGGAAGAATAAACAATGCATTTCTCTCATAAAAGTCCCACCTGTGTAACAGAAGCGTGACGAAGCGCGGCGTGTTTACTTTCGCATTATAAACTTTTCTCGCTGCACAAATACACGAAACTCTGTCTCGCTGAGAAAGAGAGAGAGAGAGAGAAAGAGAGAGAGAGAGAGAGAGAGAGAGAGAGAGAGAGAGAGA